TGTACGCACGCGACGTGTGTGTGTATATATATATATATATACACACACACACACAATACATCTTACATTCTGTGGGTGACGATATGTTAACGCGCCAGTTTCGTTTTCGTTCGTGGAATACGCAACGAATTTCCGCGCTATCGATCCCGATATAGTCTACAGTCACTACTGTTGGCTTGTGTCGCTCTTACTACCATTCGTCGATTATTTACGAGACGAAAAGTAGAATGTGACTGTGCGCCGAACGTGTAAGTGTGTCCCTCGATAATAGGTCGTTATCGATAAAGCCGATGGCGCGGATCATTTCGGTGAAAGTCGTTCGTTCGCCTCCGGATGAGAGACTCCGTTGGCTGTGAGAGCTTTCTTTCAAGGAGCAATCTCGTTTCTATGAGAGCCACGTTTAATTTTCGCTCCCCTGTGTACTTTATTGAGCGGAGCGATTTACAGGACGGACGCGACAGATCTGTACGTGTGGGCTTAAAAAATGTCTTTGCGGAAATTAGACTTCTCACGGAACTTGAAATAGGAATTAATAACAGAGATGTGGTTTTTTCTTATAAGAAAAAAACCACATAAAACATGTGGAAAGAGAGGTTTTGCTAAAATATTAAAAAATTTAGTTAAATACAGATATGAAAATAATTTTGTTGGACTATCAAAATAATTATGTAGGACACTCAAGTAGTACATTTTACTGAGTAGCAAAATGTCGAAACCTGTTACAGCATTATCATCAACGCTTAAGCATTTTCCATTTTGGTTCAACAATTGTCATTTATATAGTATCTAAATTTTTTTATATATTTTAGTAAAACTATTTTTTCTGCGTAGCCTATGAAGGTTTCATAAATAATAGGTTTAATAATTAATAATTACTGAACAAATGCATTATGTTTACATACCATAGATAAATTTATTATTCTATTCAAAAATGCTATAAAGAAAAGATAACAATGATGAGTAATTAACTATTAACGCTTGATAAGCGTTGCATCTTACGAAGGCGAAGATAAGAGCTACTTTGAGACACGTTAAACGGCAGTTAATGCTCTATTCTTTACGCGAATATTTAAGTGTTTCTTGTTAAGAATGTCTTCGAAACACCTATAAAATATTAACGTGTTTATAGCATGTTTATGATGTTTATAA